GTTTTTGGCCAGGGCTGGGTTTGAACCCACCACCTCTGACATACGGGGTCTGCGCTCTACTCCTTTGAGCCACAGGTGCCGCCCTGGTCTAGGCCTTTTTCCTCATACGCAGAGCTAACTCGACACCAGAGGCAGGACAGTGGGGAAGGGTAGCAGAGGGACAGCAAGATTTGGGAGTAAAAATGCTTCTCATTGGCTTGGCTTCCTTGGCACAGCCCTGAAAGGGTTAACAAGGCTTGAACTGAGTGACCTGGCCCTCCCTCTCCCTTCCGCCCCTCCCCCTCCAGGTCCCCTTCCTCTGGACTTCACATCCTGTATTTAGGTTCCAGCCCACATACCTCTCTAATCTGAGAGGAGTATTCTGGGGCCAGCTCCTTTGGCTATAGCTAGCCGCCTGCCCTGGGCTCTTCACCCAGCCCCACGTTACTGCTCTCTGGTGTCCTAATGGTCCTGCCAGTCCTACAGTGGGTACTGCTGGGGAACTCTGTCATCCTGTTGTGTCTTACCCACTGCTGGGGGCTGTCTCTTCATGTGAGGGGTACACAGCAACTCTCCAGCCTCCCAGTCTGGTGTATCAAAAGACGGGACTCTCTGGCTGCCTTTTCTGCTTGGAATTCCACCCCTCTTTTTTTTATTATATTTTTAAATTTTATTTTATTTTTATTTTTAGAGACAGAGCCTCAAGCTTTCCTCCTGGGTAGAATACAGGGGCATGACAGCTCACAGCAACCTCCAACTCCTAGGATCAGCTAGTCTCCTGCCTTTGCCTCCCAAGTAGCTGGGACCACAGGTGCCTGCCACAACGCCTGGCCATTTTTTGGTTGTAGCCATCATTGTTGTTTGGCAGGCCCGGGCTGGATTCGAACCCGCCACCTTAGGTGTATGTAGCTGGCATCTTAGCCACTTGAGCCACAGGCGCTGAGCTTCCTTTTTTTTTTTTAGAGACAGTCTCACTTTGTTACCCTCGGTAGAGTGCTGTGGCATCAAAGCTCACAGCAACCTCCAGCTCTTGGGCTTAGGTGATTCTCTTGCCTCAGCCTCCCGAGT